AATGCAATCCAATATTTAAAAATGAATATCCGAGCATAAAATCTCCAAAAGATAATGTTTACAAGTTCTTCTGAAAATGTCAATCTGAACAGAACATGAATTTGATGTTTCGATTACATCACAGTGAGTGATTTTAAATCCATACAAATAACTTTCGTGACACTTCTTTCCAAGTCAAAATGGAAAATATGATTTTAAGCAAATCTTCTATTTTAATTTAAGTTATTCAATTTTTAAATATTAAAATCATATTTAGTGCTTTTTTTAAAGTAGTTTTACTGACAAATTACTAAATTACTATTTAGTAATTTGTTAGTAAAACAAATACTAATTTGTACAAATATTTATACAAATAGAATACAACAACCTGTGTACGCTATATTGAAATTTTTTTCCCTGTTTTATTCATATTCTGTCTTAGACAGGTTTTACTGTATTAATTAATATATCGTATTTTTATACGTATTTTGTATATATCGTATTATTTGAACGCATAAAAAGACTGTAAATTTGATTCCCTTCTTTCATCTAATTGAATCGGTATATGTTGGCATTGGAGTAGTTGGCAAAAAGAGTTTCTTATCTTGTTTCTCCTAAAATAGCTAGTAATTGCTAACATTTCCTCGTGATTACAAGCTTATAGATCTACTGGATCTTTTATTCTTCTTACTTTTTTAATTCTTAAACCGAATAGATAAAGACTTCCTCAAGGCCATTTGCTTATAAAAATAGAATTAAAAAAAAGTAATATATCGTAGCGAAAGTTATCAAATACGGGTGTGGATATTTTTTGAAAGAGCAACGGCATATTAAAGAAGAACTCAAAAAATTGAAGGCAATCTATATTATATAGAGCAAATGGTGATTCGAGACATTGTAAGGACAGACAGATGATGCAATTCACATTGATTTTTGACTCGAATTTGATAGATTGACCACCACTACTGCTAAAAATTTTTTAGTTTGTTTTTAACATATTTCAGCAGTATACTGGCAGGCTATATATTCTGATTACACTTATCAGTTCTGTAATAATAAAATTATCAGTTTTACGAATTAGCAACAACTTGCTATCAATAGATTTTAACTAACTTTATACATACTAAATCTACACTATTTCATTCTGGTCTTATTTAAAATCTTAAGGAAAAAATTCTATGTTAACTGTAATTAAAAAAGACTTCTTTNAAATGGTGATTCGAGACATTGTAAGGACAGACAGATGATGCAATTCACATTGATTTTTGACTCGAATTTGATAGATTGACCACCACCACTGCTAAAAATTTTTTAGTTTGTTTTTAACATACTTCAGAAGTATACTGGCAGGCTATATATTCTGATTACACTTATCAGTTCTGTAATAATAAAATTATCAGTTTTACGAATTAGCAACAACTTGCTATCAATAGATTTTAACTAACTTTATACATACTAAATCTACACTATTTCATTCTGGTCTTATTTAAAATCTTAAGGAAAAAATTCTATGTTAACTGTAATTAAAAAATACTTCTTTAAATCATAACAAATATTGATTTATTCTAAAAAGTAGAATTTGCACTTTAGATTTTTATCGAAATTCAAATATGCTAGAAGAAACTGTGAATTGTCTTGAATTTTCAATACTTCAAAGAGACTATATAATCGATTTTAGCTCGTGTTCACTTTATTCTTGTATATTTTCTAGTTTCGGGAGATTCGAAAATCCTATTAAGAAAAATTAGACTCAACAAGTTATGCAATTAACTAAATTTCATTAGAATTCTAAGTAAGTATTACCTATATAAAAGACTTATTAATAATTTAAACACTCTACAGCGCCCTTGTAATGATAGGTTGCGTAACCGCATACGATAAAGCGACGATGCATATCAGTTTGTTTTACTAATTAATTCAGCGAAGTCTAACGAGTAAAATAAACTTTACAGATTTACTTGTATACCAAGATAATAATTAAGTTTAAAATATCCAATTTACACTGAATGATATTTACACGTAGGCTAAATCTTTATAATTATAGTTTATAACGGTAAACATTAATTGTTTTCGTTTGTACATTTAATCAACTTGCTTTTTTTTTCTTTTATTGTTTTCAGTAAATATGAATCACATAAAAATGTTACGTGAACATTTATCGATTTCCATTGATATGTGCGTGCGTACGTTATACAACTAAAATAGACTTTATAGCAGTTATGAAGAGCGTCATGGAAATGAAAGAGTTATCTTAGGGAACGTAAAAATTGATTTTGAAACAGGTTTAATTTATGCCGATTAAACATAGTTTAATGAAATTTATTACAGGAAACAGCCCACCTGTGGACGAATGGATAAAACCACCGAATACAAGTCTTGGGTTCGCGACTCGCCAACGGACTGGCCACGTGGAGTTTTTCTAGTTTTCACACGTCTAACACATCAAAAAAAAGGGCTAGTTTACCATAGAAAGACCTTCGGGAGACATTCTTTTGGCAGATCGCCCATGTGTTGCGTTGCCATATCCCATCAATTCCCATTACAGAAGACACATAATTTAAAGGTTTCATTTGTTTAAGAAACATTCATAATCTTTGGTTAAATAGAAAAAAGATTAAACGTGAACATCAATGTTATTATAAAAGGTTTTAGTCTTAATTTTACGAAATAAAAAGAGGAGAAATATATTAATGAAAACTTGGTTATTTTATATAACAATTGATGAAATATTGATATTTGAATAAAATTATGTAAACGAAAAGACGTTATAGACGTACTGCAGAATAAAAACAGTATATTGTTAAAAATAGGAATTTAAAAGATTTATTAATACATAAATATTAATATTTTTTATTCAAACTGAAGTTTTATTATCCATTAATCTGTAGCTTTATTTTTTCATATTCTAATTGTTGAATATGAATGTTCGATTAAATTATGCTGAACGAATTCTGAATTTTAAATTTTTAAATTATTTTATAATTAAACTTTGATTCTCGATTACTGTCTCTTTGCGGCATTCAGTTTTATAACATTCAATGAACGATAATAGGAATAAATGTTAAAAATAAAAATCAATACCAATATATTTTAAAAGTAACTTTCTGGTTTTTATACTTGCTAATAAATTATTAAAATATGAATATATGAATGTTTTCATAAATTATTCAGTAATGACTTTTAAGAAACTGCATAAAAATCACATTGTTTCTAAGGATTAATTCAGACGGCCGGATGTTCAACTAGGTTAAGATGTCAGCCTACTGCTTTGAAAAACCCGGGATCGAATTCGGGCGTGCAATCCCAGAAATTTTCATGGGTGATCTGCTCCTGATACGTCCTCGTCACCCGGCTGCTCCATTGTGGGCCTGGAGAAACCCACGATAGGTGTAGAAAAAGACCCTCTTAGTGAACATAGGGAAGAGAGAGAGAGAGAGGAAAAAAAGACATTAATTCGATGTTTTTCTCTCTTCAAAGTAAATCTTTTTGTATAAAATTTAGAGGTAATTTGAAAAGGAAAATCAGTTTGCTTTTATACGGAATATAAATGAATTTGTTATAAAGATCTTCTATACATCAATTGCTTTAAATTGTATGGGTTTATTCTATATAAATTCTTTTCGAGTTTTAAAGCCAGAATTCAATTTATTTCAGATTTCATTTTGTACTGTACTTTTTCTTTAAATAAGCTTTAAATAAAATAGTAGCAAATTTTTATTTTGTAAACTACTTTTATCCACAATAATCCAGAAATAAATTTTATCCAGATAAAATTATGTTAATTCAACATATTCAAAATGATGGAGATTTACTACTATTAACAGTTATTAGAATCGTTGCATAAAAAAAAATGCAGTGACAAAAACTACCTTCTTTTTTGGTATTTTTAGCTTCAATGGATGTAACTGGGTGCAGTTTCGATCATTACTCGTAATCGTTAACCTGGAACACAATTAGATCGAAGTGAAGCAGTTCAGATGCAGTAGTAGAACAGTTCTTGCCGCATGCTTCGATCTCCACTTTCTGTCAACACTTTCTGGTTTTTGCCATTCAGACAGAGTTTGGAGGCAACAGATGGTAGATGTCGATGACCTGCATGAATTCTCCAATCAGAATGGAACAGTCGAATTGAAGGAAACAATAACTTGAAGGACAAATATTCGGTCTGTAATAGTTGTATTCTAGAACCGTTCTTACTTTCTTTTTTAAATCTCATCTTGCTTCAACTTTATTGAAATTCTAATACAAATACAGAAATACAAGATAATGATAATATTTCTGCTCAATTTTACAAATATCAATATTTTATAAGAATATTTTCCAACTTTAATTATGCACGTATTCTCATGAACAGAAATTAAGCGAATTATGTTTACTTCTCCAAACATTTAATATCCATAATATTAAATTGTAGAGATTTTCTTTATTAAAAATAAGGTTTAACTCAAACCATATTCTTAAACATTTATATTTTTTAACTGCTTTTTTTATGTACAACTTAAAATGTTTTTATTTCTAAATTAGAGTGCACAGAATGAAACAATTATGCATCGATTTTTCTAGACCTAAAATCTATGAAATATGCTTATAAATTCTGCTGGATGCTGCAATCGATAGTATTTGTAGAAAAAAAATTACTTATTTAAAATGTTTAACGAATTAAAGAATCAATAAAATTATGTGCACGTAATTTACATAACATAATGTTAAACTTCCTGTTTGAATTACGTGAATATTTTCATAAACGTACAATTAATGCTGCTTACAAAATGCATCTAATAACTTATAAATAAGAAACAAAACTGCAGTATTAGTTCAAATCGTATTCTTTCATTCTAACTTGGCCCATTAGTGGCCAAATGGATAAAATTACTAAACACTGGGTTCGCGCCTCGCCAACAGGCTGGCCACGCGGAGTTTTTCGGGTTTTCTTCACGTGTTTAATACCTAAACAGGGCCGAATTTCTCATAGAAAGTCCTCTCGATTTCCCTTTGGCAGATCGCCCAAGTGTTACGGTTACCTTATTCCGCCAATCCAATCTAACTGAAGTTCTTCCTTAAATAAATACGTTAAAAATTTATATATAATTCTTCTGTAAATCCATAGGAAATTTTCGATTAATAAGTCATTTTCGCATCAGTTTCAGTAGATTTTTTTCAAAAATTTAAGCGTAATTGTGAGCAGATGATCAATTTATCCATTCAATTCATGCTAATTATTATAACTTCCATAAATTATAATGATCAACTATTAAGCGAGATTATATATATTTATGTAAGTTATATACATACTGTACAGTACATTATATAGGCTATATTATATACTATGTAATAATGTACATTATATATATAATTATAATATTATATATATATATACACAGTATATATTATTCTAAAAAATTTCATAAAATTTTCTATTATATTTGAGTTTGATTTTTGAAACTTAAATGCTGAATTGAATAGGCAATCTTTTATGTGATGGTCCATATACGAAAGAATTCATTGTCTCCATGCGTCAAAAATGCACAAAGGCGATACTGATTAAATGATGCGGAAGTGAGTTATATTGAGAAATGACGTCACTGTCGTAATGTCGCTAATCAACAACAACATATGACATCATTAAGAGAATGGTGTTTCGTGAAGTTGTCACGTTTAACCGCATTTTCTATCCTTCGCAATTTAGTCTGATTGGATCATTGTTGTTCTATACGGTCAAGAAAATAATACGTTATTCTGTCAGAATTGCTACGTACATAAATTCTTGTTAGTTTACATCTATCTGTAATTATAATATGATGATAAATTGCCAAGAAGATCAAAGTTACTGGCTTAATATTTTTGACTTTGTTGAAATAGGATTAAAGTTTATAGATTTGTCTTTCAGTTTATCGAACCGGAAAGCAAATACACAGTCGAAAGTAAATTTAATAAAGTAAATAGGCGTATAAATGTTCTTAGTTTCAATATTCTAAGAGACAGTGAAGTAATTCGAGTATAACGAAATTTCTCACAGTCGAATTTCGGGTGTAATGTAAAGATTTGCGTGAAACATTGGAAGAAAAATCCTATTTATTTGTGTCACGAATTAAAGAATCGTGACGGAATAGTAACCACGCAAACGATGTGGATAAGTGTTTGCATTAAAATTTTGATATGCATTTGCATGGTATCTAAACGGCCGAAAGTTAAGATATGTAAATCTTAAATTATGAAGATCTGTCACTATTATTATTCTTAATATTTTATTTTTATCTTCATTTCCTATTTTAATCGAATAAACTCAAAACAGCATATACAGCAAAACCTGTTTAAAACGGAAAAAATATTCGGTACCGTGCGATTCCGGCTTACACAGGTTTTACTGTATATAAATAGTTGTTAATATAAATTAATTTATTTAATTTTTCTAAGAGTCCGGATTTAATTTTCATATTAAGTAATGAATACATTTTTTATAGCCTATTATTTTGACAAAAACTTTTAAAAATTATGTATTTATTTGCATAACAATACTTAACTTTTCGTTAATATAAATGGGTAACTTTACTGATAATGACGCTTAAAAAGTGGAAAAGGAAGCAACAGTCGACTGGCAATCCTTCAGAAAGAGCAACAACACTTTTAATGACCAATGTCGTTAAGTTTGTCTCTTGTCAGAATTATTTTGGCTAAAATCCAATGCGAACAATGGCAAACCAAAAGATAAATTTTATCAATACAAAATTGATCGGGGGTAAAAAAATATTTTGTATTGTAAGAGATTAGATAATGTTAAATAAAGTATTATATTTCATAAATTCTTAAAATTTAATTTATTTTAAAAATAACTTTCATTGAAACAAGCCTTAACATTTATTTAATGTGATTAGAATAACACAGATTATAACAATTTCTTTCAACAATAATAATATTACAATGGTCACGAATATGTAATAAATCTTCCATTTAATCTCATCTAACAATATGTTAGCCTGCATTATCACATTAGCTACTTTATAAAAATCTATAACTAATAATTATGATGATTGGTGCGTGATTACAATTAATTTTCATACAAAAAGATTATCCGCGTGTATCTTACACGAAAATCAACATTATTATAGGGATAACAGAGCTTTATAAATTTGACGACAGTTCGGAACTGTCATAAAATCAATAATTTTGTAATTAATCACAGAATTACAAATCCATTAAGCTCAAAAAACATTTAGATTTAATATAACTCGATAACTAAGGCTCAATTATTGTCAAACTATATCACAGCTCTTACATAAACTTAAGACCGTACTTGCGGACAAGACTGAGGCCTCAAAAAAAATTAATTTTTACAAAATTGTTTGTAATTTACAAAATTACAAATTATTAATTTTACTAAGTATAATTTACAATAATGGGCTGGACTTAGACTTGTTGTGGCTCTAAGCTATAGCATATAACATCACCTTCCTCGCCACCAAATAATGGTACATGTAAAAATGCAAGGCCCTAAGCTATAAACAGACTTGTAACGCGAAGACCTAGGCTTCAGTTTGTTTACCTTATATGCAAATCCAGCCATAGAGTTATAAAAACATATTTGGGGCTTGAGTGCAAGAAGAAACTGAGTCCCCTTACTCTGCTATCTTTAAAGGGAACCCCGAAAGACCTTAATGCCTTGAGTCCCAAAAGTTTAAATACAATTTAATAATGAATATCATTCCATATAAATTATTTTAATGTATATTTTTATGTTGAGACATTAATATCATACAGAAATCTCTAATTTAAATATTAATATATATTGGATACACAATTTTGCGATGCCGATATTTGATTGTATTCGGTTGATTAAACACAATTTTTAAAGGGAATATAAAAGCCTAGAGACAAATATTTAATAAAATAATCATAAACATCCACATTCTTAATACAAATACCTGAACTTTATGCTTCGAACGAAACGAAATTAAGAATATCGATTAATTCAATTCCAAGTGAAACGACATCCCTGGAATATTTTAAAACTAACTTTGAAAAATTCGCTTTTAAATTAGATTTATAGATTAATTATAAAATCATTACATTTTAACCGTTTTTAACCCATTATACGTGAAGGCAATGTGAAATTAGAAAAGAATTTATGCAAATAAGATCTCTGAATTTTATTAATATGGCAGAATTAAGAAAATAATGATTTTAAAGAAACTTTTAAAACTTAAACATTTTTTTTTAATTTTTAAATATTATAAATATTACTAAATCAAGTAAAGTTAAGATATCTTCTCTATATCACTTGAAACATTATCTAATAACAACTTGTTCTTAAAGGTACTTCTACTTTAATTGCCCATATCAGAAAAGTAAGTTTGACGTAGAAACAAGAAAAAAAAATGAGGCTGAACAACTTTTTCTATGTCTGGAGGTGTATTTATAGGAACGATTCGAGATAAGCAAGACAGTACACGTATATCTAAGAGGAGGGAAGAATTAATACTAGAAGAAAGTTACTCTTTTTCTTCTTCCCTTTCTTTTATTTAATATACGATGACGACTAAGTATCTTATGCGAATGGTAAACAAAGATGCATTTTCCCTATCTTAAATAAAAAAATAAAGATATATAAAGTTCAAAAACTTTCAAGATATTCGTAAAGTTCAGTAATAGTATCTTTCGCGGTTTGATGTAAATCATAAATCTTGTGCACGTCAGCAATTCTGAAACATACTTCATTTTTATATTTATAAAATAAACTTTTATTATGTTTTCAAAAATATGATTTTTAAGGTTGTGAAGAAGCAATTTAATAGTTAATTATTTTAATTGAGTCAATAGAAAAAGTCGAAACAAATTTAAGATATGGCGTTAAGTTCTTGATTGTTTCCGATGTTATCGTTAGCTTCAGATTACTAATAAATATTTCAAATCGGTAGTATGGAAGAAAATCGATTTTCGTCCATAACTTTTTCGAAATATTTTTTATCTAGTAGTTCCTTAAGGCTATTCAATATCTTTATACCTATGATCGATATATGTTTATTTTATTCTAAAGGATAGAAAATGTTTAGCGATAAATATAATATCAACTTTACATAAAAGATTACAGTAAAAATTGAGATAGTATATTTTCTCTTCGACTGTTTCCATATTAAAAATAGATTTTGATTCATATCTCTTAAGGCCATTGAAATCGAGATATCTAACTAATCAATAATTCATTCTTTAGAGAGTCAATACTGTTTTATTTAAAATTTTATTCAATATTTTTTTATTGTTTGCTTCTAAACTCAATTAGAGCTTTAAGTAATTTTTCTAAAAATAACAATAATAATCGTTTACTATTTCAAGAAGCAATTTTACACATACATAAAATTATTTTCATTTTTTCCTTCACTTTTTCTTGATTTTTGCTATTGAAATTGTAATTAACTTTACCCCTCTGATTGCTTTAAATAGTAAACTTAGCTATTGTTACGAAAGTTTTCTTAGCTTTTGGAGAAAGTTATTTGATTAATTATCTTTGGAAATGCAATTTTTAATAATAATAATTAAAAAAAAAGTTTTGTTTAATTAGAAAGTTTAATAACTTAAAATCGCATCAAAATAAATTAAAATATTTAAATTTTATAAATAGAAAAAATTATAAAAAAAAAACAAAAAAAAAAAAAAGAAATCATTTTCTCTCGTTTAATTATACACATGTAAAATATTTTAAATGTTTAATAGTTAAAAGTAGATTATAGCCTATTATTTATTACAGTAATTTATAAATATTTAATATTCTTTACTATTTAAGATTCTAAATACAAAAATATATAAATTTATAACTGACTTTCTAGAATTATTAACAGTTAAGCATATTATTATAGTAAGTGTTTAGTATTCCAAACCATTTCGGAATGTGTTAGGGAGATTTAATAGAATGAAAGAAAAAAACACTTAAAATTCTGCATATTCGATTCACCAAATCCTCTATTTAATATGGTTTCAGCTCGATCAACTACAAAGATCAAGCGATAATTGCATCATTTGAGGCTTCGATGCATCTGTTTGCAAACTGTAATATACTTTTTGGCT